TAGAGCAGTTGTACTTTTTAAAATTTAGTTAGAATTAACTGAAATTTATTGTATTCCTCTAAGAGTAAGCATATACAAAAACAAAACAAATAATCAATAAAAAATAAAATTCTAAGATAACATTCTGATCAGTAATATTTGTCTCATTTAAAAATTTTCCTCATTCTATCCTGCTGTTTAAATTTTGTACCTTTATGACATCCAGTCTTTAACTGTATAGAATAAAAGCTTTCAGATTTTTGGTACTAAGAAATAACTATAAAAATATAGGTGGGCATGTATTTTACAGAAAATTTGAGCAAAAAAAAATCAGAGGTCCTTTTTTCTTCCTTAAAATAATATAATCTGTGTGTCTTCTTTTTTTGATTGTTTATATCTCAAAAATTGTCCTTGGCTTTGTGAAAATGGCATCATACACAGCATAACGAGGGAGTGTAATTCAAGTTGTTGAATCTCATCAAGCTAAAGATACTAGGTTGGTTTGAAATTTAATAATAGGGCTGCCTCATAGCCTTTAAAAAGCCACTTAATAATAGATATGAGATAATAAGTCTATTTTTTTTCCCAGAAGATCTTTTTAAAATTCCTACAACTATAAAAATAGTGCTAATGAAAAAAAAAAAACAAAACGTAGACATGCTGATCTCATTTCAAGGAACAATTTAAGCATAATCCCTGACTTCAAAATGGCCCACAAAATGACTTTGACATGAATCATAAAACAATAAGGAATTTTAAGGGAAATCTATTTCAAAATAGTCACAACAATTTGGCAACATCACAAAACATATCTAAAAGTAATTATACTTCACTGATGAGGTGATATACCCAAACTCAAGATAAAGAAATCATGGAGTTCTAAACAGCTCCTCATTTGCTCCTTCCCTCAGTGTGGAGATTAGAAAACTAAAGGGCAGAGAGGTTAGCTGACTAATCCATACTTACATAGTAAATTCTGGCTTATGTTGCACCTGATTCCAACTATAGCTTGATGATATACTGTAGAAAGTTTTTTCTTTCTTTTCTTTCTTTCCTCTTTCTTTCTATCTTTCTCCGTCTCTGTCTCTCTCTCTTTGCTATATATTATAATATGCTATTATATATCTATAACATAAAATAAAATAAGTTAAACATAGCATAATATTATAAGAACCCATATTTTATAATATTCATAATTAACTTTCTATGAAAATAAGATTTGAGGTGGAAAATTGTGTTCTTAAATTCAGGGTTTTGTCTTTGTTATTGTCACTGCTGTCTAAGATTTCTATTGGGATTGTATTTGTTGCATTTAATTTAAGTAATGAATAAGGGTGAAAAATTAACTTAATGGGTCTGGGGGCATCTGACATTAAATGGAGGTTATTTCATTTGTCAGTATGAGACATGACAACATTAGTTCTGCTCAGTTACTTGTTTCTAGAGCTAGATATTAGCCTTGTATTTGGTGAATCTGCCTCATATTATTTGCAAAGCTGCCTCTCCAAATATAGCAGCATATTAATCAAATGCAGATTGATGTAATTTACTAATGGTAAGAATGAAAATAAATCTAGACTACATCCAAATAACTCACCAGTGAAATACCAAGGCTTGGCCAATCTTACTTGCATCATTACCTTGTAAAATGTTGTCTGTAATTCAGCTAAACATTCAAATCAGTAACCATGGATCTTAAATAAATTTAACTGCAATTCATTTAATGTGCTGAATACATGTTATATAAGTAAGTAGAAATTTGACTGACTGCCATATACAACTTTTAACCATTTTATTTTGCAAATAAAACCAATGCTCAGAAAAGTTATTAACTTGATCAATGTCTAAGAAATAAGTGGCAGGACCCCAAAAAATCAATCAAGTTTTCAATTTCTATTAAAACATATAGTTGGTGATCTAGTCTATAAGCACTTACTTTATCTGAATTCCAATCTCAAATAATAAATTTTAAACTTAATTATAAAATCATAAATATTTTTAAAACATAGAAGCTTAATATTCAATATATATATATGATATGTATATCATATACATATAACGTATATAAAAGTATATATAATGTATATAAAATTATATATATATACAGTATACATATTTATACACACACACATATATATATAACTTACATAACCTTGGGGAAAAAATCAGTATGCAGTAGAATTCAGTACCTTTGCATTAATTCTTGGCCATTAAGATATCTAGTCTTTTCCCACATTTTCTCCTTTACATCTTCAAAAAGAAGAAGTCTTTCTGAAAAGTGCTATGTCAAAAATCCTCTAGTTTAAGAGTTGTACCCTAGTTCTGTAACATCAAAATTTTGCTTTTGTTTATACTACTTGATATTTGTCATCACAAAGAAGAAATTCCTTTATATATCTTGTTATTATGGGTTGATTTATGCTCCCCAAGAAAGATATCCTAGAATATGACCTTATTTGGAAATATGGTCTTTACAGATGTAATCAAGTTCAAATCGGGCCAGTAGGACAGGTCCTAATTCAATATGGTGGTGTCCTTAAGGGGGAAATTTGAACACAGAGACAGACACAGAGGAGATGATGTAGATGCACAGGGGAATACTGTGAAGATGGAGGATTGGTACGATGCATCAACAAACCAAAGAAAACCAAAGATTGCCAGCAAACTATCAGAAGCCAGGTGGAGGTGAGGAAGAATTCCCCTATAGGTTTCAGAGGGAGCACTCCTCTGCTGACACCTTGATTTCAGACTTCTGGCCTCCAGATTGTGAGACAATACATTTTTGTTGTTTAAGCCATCCAGTCTGTGGTAATGTCACAGCAGCTTTAGGAAACTGATAGATATCCTAAACCAAACTAAGTAGGAGAAATTATGTTTGCTTTTCTAAATTTCTTTCATTGCCAGTTTCTCTCTTTCGAACTGGAGAAATAGAAACTAAACACATTGTATTCATCCTGGCTCACTCTAGTCTATTTTTCAGATAGCATCTTGGAAAGAATAGCACAAATGCTTCTGTTTTTGTTTTGTTTTCAAGAAATAAGTATAATAAGAGGTCACTTAGAAAATAATTTTCCTTTGTTTGGTGGAAGTATTTTAGGATAATTGCCAAATACTTGAATGCCTATTTAAGTATATATTCATATCAATTTGGCCCCAACAAGCCATCTGGTTTGATGATATGCTATCCATCCATGGCTGTACTGTACATTAGCCTTCTCTCATTTCTTCAGTCTATCAGTCATTAAGTACTTGCATATGATAATTTTTCCAAAATGCATTTCTAAATCATCTTTTCTCTAAATTTGGGTACTTCTTGGTTCAAGATTTCATTGTCCCTTAATCGGTTCTTAACTGATCACTTTTCTCCTTTTAACAGCCCTGACGAAATTGAAAGATCCATTTTGTTCCAGTGATGGCAAATGCTACCTGTATCATAATGGCTATTATTGTTCATTCTAGGTGTTTTACATATTCTAATTCACTTAGTTGGGAGGACAACAACTTGCTTCGAAAGATTAAATAACAGAATTAAGGTCATATATAAAAAGTGATAAAGCTGAAATTCTGTTTCACTCCAAAATATATAAACTTTTTATTCTATCATTAAAGTCATTTCATATTGGTCATTAGAAAAAAAATTATATTGATTGTCAGACAGATTTTAACTACTTTGGCTTCTGTATTATCTGTTGATACTTTGGTTTTGATGATTTTTAAAACCATTAGATGTTATGTTCAAACTACTAACAGATACTCAGTAATCAAGGAAGATCTAAATGCTTTGGGACAATCCATCTCATTTCTATTTCAGAATAGAAATTGACATAATTTTTGGTGAAAAGGATCCAAGTTAAAATTTCAGATAGTTGATAAGGGTTACTAAAGATATTAAAATTATACATCAGAATGACATAACTACAATTAAGCTTGCACATTAGCTGGTTGTATATACAAAATTATATGCACAAACTCAGAAAAATGGTTAATTTTTCTGGTTGTAAAACTTCAGATGATTCTAAAGCAGAACACAGATTTTAACTTTTTAAAACCTAGAACCTCTATATTGTGACAATGGCTACAAAATAGGGTGTTAACCTGAGTCTTTAGATGTATCTGTGTATGTTTGCATATCCATACACGTATGGAGGACTGGGTGATCTAAAGTAACTTTTGGCTCCCTAGGAAGATGGGTACTAGTAGGATGACCATAATATTTATTATTAAACAGAGAGACTTTTGAGAGGAAAGAGAGGTGAAGAGCTTTGTTAACAACGATGCGGGACAAAAAGCATAATATGGGACTTTGGTTGTATGTGAATAGAAGCAGATAATCACCCTACTTATGCACAAAATTTGATGTAGCAATAAGTTAAAGGAAAAGGGAGATGAGAAGAATATTTTTAAAGTATACTTTACTAAGAAATAGCAGGGAATTATGTAGAGAGACAAGGAATACAATATGATATTCACTATAAACCTTACTGAAGTATGTTTATAAAAAATCTATACACTTTTCCTTGAAAAATGTTTCTCACGTCTAAGTACAGTAAGATACTCTACCACCTTTTTTCTGATAAATTCCCTTCTCATAGAGACGGGGGTGACTGTTGATAGTCACCACTAAGTCAGAAAAGTGGCCTCTGAGTCCATCCTTGGGTTTTGATTTTTCAAGATAAGCACAAAATGAACAAGTCTTGGTTTTCTTTTCTTTTTTTTTTTTTAATTCAAACACTAGCACGATTATCAGCCATCAATGATACTACTTAAGGAAGTTAACACTTACTGTGCATATTCACCTGTAACTTTATTCAGGTGCCACATTTTTAAAGTATTATTCAGAAACACAGCAACAAAAATGCTATAGCCCCTTTTGTAGTATTCAGGGTCATGATCAACTTTAATTGTTTCATCTTGATCTTTACCTAATTCTAAAATTTTAAATTCTGCCAATAGTCAAGCTTTTTAAAAAAGTACACACTAACATAATTTGCCCACTTAAAAAAGAATATTATATACACTACCTTTCAAGTGAGGGCTGTGTACGTGCATTCTTTGCAGATGTAGATTTACCGGAACAAATTCTAATGTTTTCTCTCCTTTGCTGCTGCTTGATTTGAAAGAGGACCCTAGGCAGGAAAAGAATTGAACATTAATAGTAAATAAATAATAAATGTGTGTGTGCATGTATATTGAAAAGTGTGTTTGACACGGAAAAATGTTACAAGGATTTCAGAAAGAAAAAATATATCCTGTATAAAGCTGCTTTTCTTTACAGAAATTCAATTTAAAAAATTCTTAGTTGTTCTTATAATAATCCCATGAGGTAAAATAGTGCAATTTGTTTCTTCATGGTCTATCATGCCAAGATGGTAGAATGAGATATAAAAAGTTTATAAAAAACTTTTTTGGCTCTTCTATATCCATAACAACAATGTGTATTATTGTTTTCACCTAACATACCTGAAATACAATTTAGTTTGAATATGTAAAAAAGTTATTGCTTTCATACCTGTTTCCTTGCTAAGTTCTGTCAGAATATCTTGGTACATATTCACCATTTGATCACAGTGAGTAAGGACATTTTTCCGTAGATTGTCCCAGTGTGGAGACAGCTCACCAAGTTCTTTCAGCTCCTGGTTTCTGTTAAAAGTAGAAAAGAGGAGAAAATAATTATTTTGATCTTAAGTCCACAGACAAGGAACACCTAATAAACATTGCCAAACTAATAAGAAATTGATTCACCATCCGTTTTAGGAAAGCTGTATGCACTTATTAGAAAAAAAAATTATTCTCCTACATCAGGCATAACAATATCTTTCAGGATATGTCTCCTGGGGCAAGAGAAACAAGAGCAAAAATAAACTACTGGGACTACATCAAAATAAAAAGCTTCTGCACAGCAAAGGAAACAACCAACAAAACTGAAAGGCAACCTATGGAATGGGAGAAGATATTTGCAAATGATGTATCCAATTAGGGGTTGGTATCCTAAATATATAAAGAATTTATACAACTCAACACCAAAAAAACAAATAATCCAACTAAAAAATGGGCAGAAAACATGTAGAGACATATCTCCAAAGAGGACATACAAATGGCTAACATGTGAAAAGATGCTCAACATCACTCATCATCAGGGAAATGTAAATCAAACCACAATGAGGTATCACCTCACACCTGTCAGGATGACTAAAATAAAAAAGACAAGAAACAACAAGTGTTGGTGAGCATGTGGAGAAAAAGGAACCCTCTTACACTGCTGGTGGAAATGCAAAATGGTACAGCTACTGTGGAAGACGGTACAGAGTTTCCTCAAAAAGTTAAAACAGAACTGCCCTATGATCCAATAATTGCACTACTGGGTATTTATCCAAAGAATGCAAAAATACTAATTCAAAAGGATATTTGCACCCCTATGTTTACTGCAGTGTTATTTACAATAGCCAAATTATAGAAGCAGCCAAATGTCCATCAATAGATGAATGGCTAAAGAAGTGGTTTAGGGAGGCTGGGTGGCTCAGTCAGTTAGACGTCTGCCTTCTGCTCAGATCATGATCCTGGGGTCCTGGGATTGAGCCCCACATTGGGCTCCCTGCTCAGTGGGGAGTCTGCTTCTCCTCTCCCTCTGCATGCTGTTCCCCCCTGCCTGTGGTCTCTCTTTCTCTCACTTACTCTCTCTCAAATAAATAAATAAAACCTTTAAAAAAAAAAAGTGGTATATATACACACACATATATATACATATATACATATATATACACATATACACAGATATATATACATATGCATATATACATATATATATATAATGGAATATTATTCAATCATAAAAATAATGAAATGTTGCCATTTCCAACAACATGAATGGATCTACAGAGTATAATGCTAAATGAAATAAACCAGTCAGAGAAAGACAAATACCATATGATTTCACTCATATGTTGAATTTAAGAAACAAAACAAAAAAAGAGACAAACCAATATACAGACTCTTTAACTATGCACAACAAACAGATGGTTACCAAAGGGGAGGTATGTGGAGGGAAGGATGGGTGAAATAGGTGAAGGGGACTAAGAGTACACTTACCTTGATGAGCACTGAGTAACATATGGAATTGCTGAACTACTATATTGTACACCTAAAATTAATATAACACTGTCAACTACACTGGAATTAAAATAAAAAAATAATTTTAATGCAGAGGAAGATATGAATAGCTTAGGTCACACAAACATTAAAGTTCCGTATGTTGAAATACAGCATCCTTTCCTGATTAAAACTCTTCAGAGTATAGGGATAGAGGGAACATTCCTCAAGTTCATAAAATCCATCTATGAAAAACCCACAACGAATATCATCCTCAATGGGGAAAAGCTGAGAGCCTTTCGCTTAAGATCAGGAACACGTCAAGGATGCCCACTCTCGCCACTATTGTTCAACATAGTAATAGAAGTCCCAGCAACAGCAATCAGACAACAAAAAGAAGTAAGAGGTATTCAAATTGGCAAAGAAGAAGTCAAACTCTCTCTTTTTGCAGACAACATGATACTTTACATGGGAAACCCAAAAGACTCCACCCCCAAATTACTAGAACTCATACAGCAATTCAGTAATGTGGCAGGAATGCACAGAAATCAATTGCTTTCTTATACACTAACAATGCAACTGTAGAAAGAGAAATTAGAGAAACAATTCCATTTATAATAGCACCAAAAACCATTAAGATACCTCGGAATAAACCTAACCAAAGAGGTAAAGGAACTCTACTCTTGCAACTACAGAACACTCATGAAAGAAATTGAAGAAGACACAAAAAGATGGAGAAACATTCCATGCCCATGGATCGGAAGAATAAACATCGTTAAAATGTCTATGCAATCTATACCTTCAATGACATCCAGATCAAAATTCCAATGACATTTTTCAAAGTGCTGGAACAAACAATCCTATATTTGTATGGAATCAGAAAAGACCCTGAATCACCAAGGAAATGTCGAGAAAGAAAAACAAAGCTGGGGGCATCACGATGTCCGATTTCAAGCTATATCACAAAACTGTGATCACCAAGACAGCATGGTACTGGCACAAAAACTGACATACAGACCAATGGAACAGAATAGAGAGCCCAACTCTATGGTCAAATAATCTTTGACAAAGCAGGAAAAAATATGCAATGGAAAAAAGACAGTATCTTCAACAAATGGTGCTGGGAAAATTGGACAGCCACATGCAGAAGAATGAAACTCGACCATTCTCTAACACCATTCACAAAGATAAACTCAAAGTGGATGAAAGACCTCAATGTGAGACAGGAATCCATCAAAATCCTAGAGGACAACATAGGCAGTAACCTCTTTGGCATCAGCCACAGCAACTTCTTTCAAGATATATCTCCAAAGGCTAGTGAAACAAAAGCAAAAATGAACTTTTGGGACTTTATCAAGATAAAAAGCTTCTGCACAGCAAAGGAAACAGTCAACAAAACAAAGAGGCAACCCACAGAATGGGAGAAGATATTTGCAAATGACACTACAGATAAAGGGCTGGTATCCAAGATATATAAAGAACTTCTCAAACTCAACACCCAAAAAACCAAATAATCAAGTCAAAAAATGGGCAGAAGACATGAATAGACACTTCTCCAAAGAAGATATACAAATAGCTAACAGACACATGAAAAAATGTTCATCATCATTAGCCATCAGGGAAATTCAAATCAAAACCACACTGAGATACCACCTTACACCAGTTAGAATGGTAAAAATTGACAAGGCAAGAAACAACAAACGTTGGAGAGGTTGTGGAGAAAGGGGAACCCTCTTACACTGTTGGTGGGAATGCAAGTTGGTACAACCACTTTGGAAAACAGTGTGGAGATTCCTCAAAAAATTAAAAATAGAGCTACCCTATAACCCAGCAATTGTACTACTAGGTATTTACCCCAAAGACACAGATGTAGTGAAAAGAAGGGCCATATGTACCCCAATGTTCATAGTAGCAATGTCTGCAATAGCCAAACTGTGGAAAGAGCCGAGATGCCCTTCAACAGATGAATGGATAAAGAAGATGTGGTCCATATATACAATGGAATATTACTCAGCCATCAGAAAGGATGAATACCCAACTTTTACATCAACATGGATGGGACTGGAAGAGATTATGCTAAGTGAAATAAGTCAAGCAGAGAAAGTCAATTATCATATGGTTTCACTTATTTGTGGAACATAAGGAATAGCATGGAGGACATTAGGAGAAGGAAGGGAAAAATGAAGGGGGGGAATCAGAAGGGGAGATGAGCCATGAGAGACTATGGACTCTGAGAAACTGAGGGTTCTAGAGGGGAGGGGGGTGGGGGGATGGGTTAGCCTGGTGATGGGTATTAAGGAGAGCACGTACTGCATGGAGCACTGGGTGTTATACGAAAGCAATGAATTGTGGATCACTACATCAAAACTAATGATGTACTGTATGGTGACTAACATAACAAAATAAAATTTAAAAACAAACAAACAAAAAACACTGAAAGGACAACATGAAAAAAAAAGTTCTGTATGTCAAAGAGGTAAAAAAAATACAAGTTAAATAAATGTTTCACTGATAAAAACTTCACAAAGATGACAAAAACTATCCTTAATATATATATATATATGTGTGTGTGTGTGTGTGTGTGTATATACATATGACATTCAGTTATAAAAGAAACACTAAAACCTCAATAGAAAAACAGCTAAACTCTAGGCTTCAGTCATCCAAAATAAAATAATGTGGAAAAAAAAATAATGTGGGAAGGGCTTTCTGACTATGTCTGAAGGAATCACAAGATATTCAAGTAACCCAGTTTATATATAATATAGCTGTAAATTTTTTTTTTTAAGATTTTATATATTTGTCAGAGAGAGAGAGAGAGAGCACAAGCAGGGGGAGCAGCAGGCAGAGAAGCAGACTCTCTGCTGAACAGAGAGCCCGATGCGGGACTCGATCCCAGGACCCTGGGATCATGACCCGAGCTGAAGGCAGATGCTTAACCGACTGAGCCACCCAGGCATCCTGCTATAAAATTTTTTAAAAGCCCATAAATGGTATAATCAGATACGATTTACTGGCCTCAGTTTCTCTCAAGAAGACAATTTAAGTAAATGCAGTATGCATATGTTTTGTCTTTTCTTTATCAAAAGGAAGAGCTAATCATGCCATTTAGGCTTTAATTATTACCTTTTATCTAATTCTCACGCTTTATCCAAGTTAATTCAAATCATCAGAATGCCTTTTTAAATTATAATGATAAATGGTCTAATATGCTGCTTGGTTAGATCTCTTATTCATTTCTGTAACCTTTTACCAACAACATTTTCACGAGGCTAATTCAACTAGCAATAATGAAACTTCTTTACTATTTTGGCTGTGAAACATGCTAAATACCAAGCTAATAAATTCAGAAGATGTACAATCTTCAACATCCTGTTAAATGCAAGAATAATGGATGGTGTGCAAAAATGTGACTTGCTTTCAAATGTTTGTAGCTGCCTTTGTTTTGTTTCAATGGCAATGCAGCATGGTACTGCTGCTCTTTTATCTGAGGTCTTCACAATTTTTGTGAACATTAATCTCATTCTTAACTTTTCCATAGATTAGGTTCCATC